TTAATCCACTCCTATAATGTGGTCAGGGCACATGACTTCCACCCTGTCTCCATAGCTGCCTGCTCCAGCCACCGAGCCAGAATAGCAACCGTGGCTCCTGCAGGCCACTGGCCGGCTCTGGTGACCCATCCCTGGCCGGCTCCCGTGGCCAGAGCCGGGATGCAGCCGCCTCCTGGTGCAGCTGTTGGGCCACATTCCTCACTGCCCTGGGCAGCCACTCACCCAGGTAACTGCACAGCACACAGCCTGGGCATCTTCCTCCTTCTGAGTTTGCTCATTTTTAACCTGCCTCGAGAATCCTGCTTGCCCCCAGGACTGGGACCTGCAGCAAAGAACAAGCCGAAGTGGGGACTGCTTTGGTTTCCTTCACCCTGTAAACTCACTCCTGATTGAAAACTACACTTTTCAGTTGTCTCTGTAATAGATAAAAGTGTAAAGTTGTTTCTTCTGAGGAAGCAAATTAGATTAGGAATTAATTTGTTTTAAATGTGAGACAGATTAATCTCTTTACCTGAAAAAAAAAAGAGGCAAATCTTATAAAGCAGGAATATAAGAATAAACTTGTAGTTTTATTAATTAAGAATTTTTTAAGTCAGGAACAGCTGCTGAGTCACTATGACATGTTTTTGAAGGGGTACAGTGCACATGTAGAGTTTCAAGTCTTTTAGTCCAAATGCCTTTTATTCTTCACATGGTATTTTCAGAGTTGAGAGGAACTCACATAACTATTTTGCACACAATTCAGTCTCCTCAAATTTGTTCTCTTTTAAATGCAGTGAACTTTACAGTGAATTTTTCATACTTTCAAATAGAGAGGTAGACATAATTTTGTTTTGTCAACTAGGAAAAGGTACAGTTGTGTCCCTGTTCTCAAGCGTTATTACTCAAAGCACAGAAGGGAGCACATGACTGTACACTGACCTTCATCTGTTCCCAAATTATGCCTTTTAAAAGCCTTGAATCTGTTTAAGGGGAGCTGCTGAAACCTGAAACGAACATGGTCTATTGCTTTATAAAGTAGATGAATGTAGAACTTAAGTATTACATTTCAGGCTCTGTACTAAATATAGCAAAATTAGGATGAGGGAGAATATAACTGTAACCTGAGTCTGGTTTTAGAGAATAATTTTTTGTTACAGGTATTGCTGATTACTCCGTTACATTTAGAATGTTTCCATTTCTAACAGAAAATCACCACAAATTTGCAGAAGGAAAATGCACTCCTGATAAAGATTTTTATTTTTAAAAGCTGAGTCCTTAAAAAAATTAACAGCTCTTCAGCCCTCAAATCACACCCCCACAAATTGCTAACCAGTTCAGACAGACCCAAGTCTAAAAAAAAATCTTGAAATACACCTTGCATCTCAATTTTCATTGCTTGTACTCTGCTTGATTTTCATCAGGATATGTTTAATAATGACCAAACACATCATCTTGAGTATTAAAGGGAAAATTACACTTAATTAGAAAAGTAAGCAGTGCATAACTGCAGAAAGCATCTTTTGCTGTGTGCCGAACACAACAGGCCAAAATTATGTAACTTTTACAAGCAACACTTCAATAAACTTGTTCAATAATTACAGTGGAGAAGAGGTAATCAAGGATTTTTACTTCATTAATTTTTAGTAAACTTCACTGCTGTTTCTAATGACATAATTAAACCTTCCAAGGAGCTCTGATAATGTTCATCTGCATGTTTCAAAGCAAGATTAACTTAAATCTAACTCCACAGGACAAGAACAATAGTCAGCTCATTATTTTCCAATAGAAAAATGGCTTAGAAATTGACAGATTTCTTCACAAGTTTGCAAATTTTTGACAGTTTTCAGATGGGAACTGTAATACTCATTACCTATTTAACATGCTTGCAAAGTCATAGAAACCTTCAGGATATAAGTGGCTTTTAGAAATCATCTGATCCAATCTCCTGTTAAAAGTCACTCTAAGTTAGGCCTGATTTCACAGAGCCTTGTCCAGTCAAGGTTTGGATTTCTCTAAGAATGGAGATTCCTCAGTTTCTCTGGGCAAAGCATTCCAGGACAAAATTATTGTCCATGGGTGTGTCTGTGTGTCATGGATCTTCCTTCTGTTAGAATTTAAACCTAAATATGATAAGAAATGCTGCTTCTTTTGTCTGTGCTGACATACAGGTGATTTTTGACAGCAGAGGTTCTGAAGGTTTGCCTTAACATTGTTCATTGTGTAATGGGCAATAAATTGTATGTAACTATTTCTGTTTTTAAGTGGCAGGGAGTGATTGGGAATAAACAATTATTTGTTCAACGTAAATTACAGCAGTGCTTTCAGGACTGATGTTTAGTTCTGAATCATCTTGGTCTTAGGAAAGCTCATGAACCACATACTGTAAACTCATGCCCAGATCTGCAATAACTAAAGAGAGAAAATAAAAGGAAAAAAAGGACAACTCATACCAATTCCGCTATTTTAACTTGTGCTAGAGTCACACCACCAGACTGCATATGGTTAAATGATCTGGTCCTACTGCAACATATAGTGAGGTTTTAAAAGATGACTCACATCTAAGGCAAATGAAGTGACTACTGCAGTTCTTGTGTTTTTGTCTTTCTATAATTTAATCAGCTGTTCATCTGAACAGTTGGAAAGGATACATTTATACCACAATAACTTAATCTCTCCTGGTAAATATTTTCCTGTATCTTCTGATACAAATCTATTAAATATTGGCTTATATTGACCTAATTTGAAATGAGACAGAACACTGGGGTCCCAAAGGAACCCAGCATACAACCTCTTGGTTCACTACCATGCAGCAAGGAAGTCAGTCTTAAGCATGTTTACTCGTGCTGCTGAAAGAGGATGACAAAAAAAGACATGGGTTAGGCATAAGGTTTGCTTTTATATGATTACACAGTTGTTTTTTCAATTCATCATCACTAAATTCATAATACATATAAATTCTTTGTAAATATGTAATATATACATGTGTTCTTTACACATCTGGCATTCCAACATGCTCAGTTCAGATAAACAGCCCTATTACAGGCACTTGGAGTATTTAACAGTCCTACAGAACTTCTGTAAGTAGTCACCTATGAATATTTATGAAAAAGTATTAGGAAAAGGGATCTTAATGCTGGAAAGCATCTACAATTTTTTCTAAGCAGACATACACACTAGGAAATCCTGACCAACAGAACATGTGTCCCAGAAACCTCCCTTTTCAATATTTATCCTTCATTAACAGTAATGAACCTGTAAGAGCTCTCTCAGTATGATGTTCTCTATAATCTTCAGGAACTAGTTAACATAACTTTTCCATATAAAAAGCATTACAGCTATTAAAATACAGCAAAATGTAGGGCTTTAAAGTATTATGAGGGATTTTGAATCTGACTAATGTATTGGATAATAACTGCCTTCCTATTCACAAAAAAAAAAATAAATTATGTAAACCCATGGATTTCCTATGCAGAAAGTTCACATTACTACCTTTGGTGTCAGAAGTTGCAATGAATTTCCTTGTAAAAGAGTGTTAGACACTGCAGTTCAACAGTAGTCACTAATAAGTTCGGGTGGCAGCTGTTGTACATCTGAAGCTAACAAATGTTATGTGACCAGAGATGACTGGCATGACATGTGGCTGTTGCCTTTTTATAAAGTTATGTTCTCAACTATTTTAAAAATGTCCACAAAAGTCCTTCAGAAATACTGTTCCCAAGAAGTTCATGGAAAACTGATCCTTTAATACTTACCCCACTCAGTTAGTTGCATATATTCACACATTATCACACAGTGATAAACTAAAGTTTAAACAAAAATAAAATAGTCACACAAATTCATCTGGAAGTCATGTTCTCAGCACTGTGACTTGAGGCTGGATTCACTTGCTTGAATGGGCATATATTAAATTTCCAGCAATCAATTATCATTTCAGCCTTTGTATCTGCCATCATAAATTCAGGCACATGCCCATATGGACAGACAAAGTGCAAAGACAGAACTGTCTTCCAGGCAAATTCCAAAAGCAAGTGTGAAGTTCAGTATTGAAATATCACTCCCTTTTCTGTCTTCATTCTCAAGCAGTACAGGCATTTTTAATCTAGCTAATACTTTCCCAGTCTTCCTGAAAATTTTACCTTCATAATCTTTATATAGATAAAAAGTGTTGCTAGAATTTTATATCCCTCCCAGGCACCCACACACATGTAAAAACTCATGTCATAAAAAGACTCATGTAAGGACTGACTTAGATGCTTCCAACAGAGAAGAATTTCCAAAATTCAACTGATTTTAGTTATTTAATGCACATGAAAAACACATCTCTTGATGTGGTTCTGTTTATGTCACAATTATGACCACTAAAATTAGTGTCTTGCTATATTTTTTACATTTAATAGATTAAGAAAAGCTTTTTCTTGGAAAAAGTTGATACCTTGCTTTTTATTTTTATCTTCTAGCAACTGATTTTTCAGTGAACAGATTAAATATTAATACTTTTTTTAATACATATCAATTTATTAGTTTTTAATAACACTGAGAATTGGTCTGTTTTACATACACCTTATTTGGTATAATCTTGTAGGAACTGATCTTTGAAGTCAAGAGTTAATTGCTTTTCTTCCTCGATCAGAGAAATAAGTTTGGAAAGACAGAAGAAACTCCTTCCTTCAGGTAATAAATTCCCACTCAAAAAAGAGGATTTCATACAATCCAAACTTTCAGTTCCATCTTCTATGTAGTCATTAAAATGTACAATAAATTATATAGTAAAACCCTAATATTGGAATAGTCAAACACAGACAAAACTTACTGAAAACATAATAAAACACAAGGAGATTTTTAACTTTCTATTAATTCTACCTTAAACAGTAGAGAACCACCTGCAAGTATTACACAAGAAGTGAGAACTGAATAGGAAATTGGAGGGAAGAGAACATCAGCAACACTTGACCAATAAAAGAGAATACATATGAAATATAACACGAAGACAATGGGAAATAACATGATGTTATTGTTACCTGTCATGTGTCCTCATAAAATCCCAGAACTTCTTAGTGCCATTCTGGGGGAAAAAAAAATTAAAATCAGTCTAACTCCAACTGAAAAACTACTGCAATGAAATTTAACAAAACTTAAGAGGCATTTCTTTGAAAACTTAGTTGGTTTTAATTATGAGGCCAGTATTCTGAATATTGACAGTTAGTATTACAGACACTGAAAACTGTCTTAGGACAGCTCAAAATCTTAGACCCATAATACTATGATGACAGCTAGCATACGTTTATTGCAGTCTTCAGGCCCAGTTTTGGCCACAGCATCAACTTCAGCTGCCCAGTCTAACCATTCATGGTACCAGGAAGCTATAAACAACTATGTTTTAACCAGTAAAATAACCCACAGGTATGTTCTTCCATGTCCAGAAATGTTCTTACCTTGAGAACAGCTCAGCACTTACCTCCTAACTAAACCCATGTGGGATCCAGGAACAAGACATCTTCCACCTAACCCCTTATGAGGACCAAAACAGGAGTTTTATCCACACCTAACATGCGGGGGTCATACTCCACTCCACACTGCTGCTCTTCCTCTGCGCTAGTGGTGGTGCTGCGGGCACTGTCTCACAGCAGGCTTGAAAACACAGCAATCACTCAAGAACTGGGAGACAGAAAATGGCTGATTTTCTCAAGATGGGCCAATTCCTGTCCTCTGCCAGCTTAAAAAGAACAATATCCACTACAGCAGAGCTGACAGTAACCTCTGAAAACAAGTGTTCTTTCACAGTTATAATGAGTGCATATACCTTGCCTACATTTATATTATACCTTCTATAGTTACCTACAGCAATTCATACACGTCAGTTAATGGAGATGCATGTAACTCTTTACTCTGTTTACTGGAAGGGTGATGGTGTTTTTCAGCTCAAATACAACTCCAGAGATTCTACACCCAGGTCAGTTTTAAGTCTGTGTTAGGAATCAGTATGATATCAGAGGAAATTCCCATGGTTGATACCTTTTTCTTATTACCGACGCAAAAACGAGACCTGCTGAAGACCTACCTACCTAAAATATGCTTAATGTGAAAAGCAGCACTTGACTTCTATTATAAAGTATGGTTAAATGGATGATCAAACCCTGAGTAACTGGTTAATGATTTAAAGCAGGTAAATGTGAGCAATGAGAGAAGAATCAAACTCAGTTGGTGGGTAAAGGTGCCAACCAATATAGACAGGCCCTTCAGCTCTATTACAGATGTCATGGCTACCGAGTACACAACAGCTGGTGGGGATTAGATAACAAGCACTCTGGTTCAGAGATTAAGCCCCTGAGCTTTATGAGTTTACCAAGCTTTTTGGAAGAGGGACTGTTTGCTTGCTAGCTGGGTTTTTCTTCATTCCCACAACTCTAATTATAAACAGTTGTTCACCTCAAGAGAAACTCTAATCTGCGCTTCCATTGGTGTCTGCACATACCTTCTGTTAGCACTGACAGGAATCGGACGTGTGCATTACAGGAGGAGCCCTGTCATTGTTCAGATGCAATATAATGTTGAAAGGGAAATAAAGACAGCAAATTCTCAGTGTGAACTGAAATATTAAAGCCATTGCTTCCAAATCTGAATGTATATCCAAGTCATTCCACCTGGTGAGAGACAGAGGAACAACTTTGATAGGACTGTGATATAACACACAGATGCAACATGGGCTGTGTTGTATGGTAAGATAATCTAAGGTATTAAATGTGCAAGGTCAGCTCAATCTTTCTGTAGGCTTATTTCTACCTGCTCCAGGACAATTTGTTAGCAGACTGCTGAGCAATTTTCCATGTAACACGAATGAACTGGAGAACTTTGTACCAAGGGTAATGTCTTCTGCATGTAACTTCACACTGTTTCTCTAGTCTCAACCTTCTCCTGCCCTCAAATTGTAAGTTGGTGCTACCATCATCCATTCTCCCTTCGCAGTGTTCACTTTGGAGAAGTGCGGGTGTCCAGCTACTGGAGATGTCAAAAAAAGCCTGAATCAAGTTTCTTCTTGCATTAATTTAGGCTGCTAGTCTTGTGATACTGCATTCTAACATACGATCCTACCAAAAATCTTCCTGGCTCTTTCCTCTTACCATCATTTAGCAAATTATAGAACCTGATTGCTTTGGAGCACTTATGAGAGGGTTTCAAATAGCTGAGGAAAATTACACCCTAGAGAATCATCCTCATACAGATGGGATCCATCAGAACTGAGTGACCTCTTTGCAAGGATGAGCTCTATTACCATTAACAGAACCTACCTCACAGACGTGCATATAATTTTTAGCAGAAAGTAAAAGAAGCAACTTAGTACCTAAAAAGAAATTAATAAGAAAATGAAATCTGTATTTTCTATTTTCTAAGCCCAGATGAAGCACTTTTTTCTAGACATGATTTGATTAGTCTAAGACTCAAACTCAAAACCAGCCACGGGCTAGATTAATTTGAGTCAAGACATTGGTTATTATCATATACTCTGACTGGACAATGCTTACTAAGTTATTTTCTGCCTATATTTGAATTAAAAAGTTATTTCATATGATCAAGTTGCACCTGTCCAAATAAATAAATCAATAAACAAGTGAAACATTCCAACATCTTTTTGTTTACAGTGGCAGAAACTCAAATGAGCCTCATTCATACTCTATTGTTGAAGTCAAATGTAATTTGAACCCAACCGAATGGAGCTGAGTTTCTATTGTACCCAATGCATGGCTCTTTCCTAACAGACTGGTAGGAAGGTTGCTAATTATTAATAGCATGTAAACAGTTACCAATGGTTCTTATGCTGCTTTACATACTTTACAGAACATTAATTCCAGACAGCTTCTAACCAACTATATCAAGCTGCATGTAGTATCTCTATCTTATCTTTGAGACAAAAGTATTACTTGCTGAACTGATCAAGATTCATGCTTTTAAAAGCCAAGTGGCTATGATTACTTGTTAAACTGTTCCATTCTGTATATCCTGGTCTTTGACAAAGCTCTGCTATCACCACAGTTACAGATAGCTGCAATATTAAAGGTATCAGTGGTCAACATCATTCCTGAAAAAGAGAAGTATCTTTGTGAAACACAAAGGCTCTCCAAACCCCTAACATTTTTCATTTTAATAAGCATGTGTAATAATTGCATTATTAGCAGTAGTCCATTCTCCAATGCCTAGTAAAGAACAATCACAGTATCTCTCAATGCAGTGAGAACTGAGTATAACATTGCTAGGAGATCTAAACATTGATGACAGGAAGGAGAAGGGATTATTTTATGACATTTGAGAAAAATTTAAAAAATTATTCATCAAACAGGAAATGTGTCCTGTGATGTTTATAAAGACAAATATGTCAGAACTATTTTACACTAGTTTTAATCAGTTCAGAATAGCACTTCTGATACTGCAGGAATCTTGTGTAACACATAATCGATTTGGTAAATCTTTAATCACAAAGTAATCACACTCTAGTTCTGTGCTCAGTGATCAAGTTCTGTGATGTTGCAACACTCAACTAGTGCATATAGTATGTGTAAATTAATGAAGCTGTATTCCAGGAGAGGCAGCATGTGAGACAATTTCGTTTCACATTACACAGAAGATGGATCACTTACATAAGTACTAGTTGCATAAGAAAGCCATTCCAGGTCAGACGAGATGTCCATCTTGCCTGGCAACCTGTCTCTAAAATTTAAGAACAGAGAAAGCACACAGCAATGCTTCCCCAGAAAACTCTTCCAAGTCTGGCAAAAGGCACTGAAGGGTGGCAAAAGACAAAAAGGCACCCAAATCAAGCACAGTCCTAATTCAACTCTAAAAAGCAAGCACAAATAGCCATTTCTGTACTACCTGAATGTGCAAAGTGTGCCAAAAGACCATACTGTCTGTAAGAGTGACTTGGTAATGGCATTGATAACTTAATCAGAATTAACAGCAGCTCACTCCCAGCTTGACAGTCTGCACAAGGAGACTCAATGCCTTTTGGTTCAAGTGATTCCAGGACAACCAGGCACTTCCAAGTGCTCTCTGCTAGACAGGTGTTGACAGTGGCTCTAAGTTCAGTAGATGTGACTCCTACGTGCACGGATCTGTTTATATCCATACTTGATCTTCACATTCTCTACCCTGCTACCATCCTTGAAATAATTTTCCAAAGACTCTTCCTGCACCAGCTCAGTGCCATAATTTACAGGCAGGAGTCTCTTCACATTGTCTGTAAAGGATAAGTTGGACCTGTCTGCAGCCTATCAAAATATCATTCTTTTTGACACATGCCCTCTGGCTAAAATGCCTTAAGAATCACTGTGCCAGGGATATTGCTGTCCTTTGCTTTCCTCTACCACCTGAGGCAATAAAACATCTGAACAACAAGGTCAAATCACTGCCAGAATGCCTAAAGGACAACTCTTGCTTGCTAGAGGAACTTACCTAAGACTTATCCCAGGCAGGCTGATAAAGAAGAGAAAAAGGACTTTCTGTGCTAATGATGTAGAAAGAAACATTCACTGGCACTGACTGTAGGGCCATACTGGGTATGCTCCATATCTGACAGACCCTGGACATGCTCTGACACAGGTCACTGGGAGTTTTCACTCTTCACTTGGGGCAGCTTCAATGCTTTCCACCTCCTTTTCCCTGAGGGCAGTGCCGATGCCACTCTTCTCAGTCTGCCACCTGAGAAGCTCTTGAACCAGCTCTTACATGAGGAAATGTGTCTGCACAGGTACCAATCATCACTGATAGATTGATACCATCCTTTCAAAAAAAAAACCCCAACCCAAACAAACCAAGCCACTCAGTCTGGCTCTGTGTACAGCCCTCCTGAAACTCACAACTTCTCTGCAGATGCAGCTTTTTAAAGCTAGAAGAAATAATTCTTAAACACAATTTTAGAGAGAGGCCTTTCCTCAAGGATCATTCCAAGAATCTCCCCAAAGGATGACATCCTTTTTATAAATAATTTAATTGAATTAGAGCTGTGGTACTCCAGTTATAAGATGATACTGAGTTTCAAGGTGAGGAAGAGAAAGGACAGGGATGCTGTAG